CAAACTAAACAAAACCTTCTACCCTGTATTTACGGAAGTTTTGAATTCAAGTTTAGTTCTTTTTCTTATGTTGATACTCTAGTCTCTAAATTTTTCTCTGGTTTCCTGTTTTGTTTTGCTTGTGCTATTGAATATGTGATAGCCATTTTCAAAATCTCAAAATACAATTGGTCGTTAATTCTAAATACGATATCTTCCATGTTTTCCTTAACACCCTCTACGTAATACTCATCTATTGTCTGTGTATAATGTAGTGTCCCCAAGAAGTGCTGTGTTGTGTTTCAAATATCCTTTAAAATTAACTTCTAAATCAATGCCCGAGTGGTCCGTTATATATCCCGGTATAATGTTGGAATCTTCAGTTCGAGAATAAATGTCTTCTGAGACCAGGGAATAATCTAATCTACTCTGTTGTGTGGGTTATTTTCGTCTCCATGTGACATCTCTCAATTTAGGATAAAACTGTCTCCATGGACCAACAACTCCATAAGTATATATTATGTCTTTTATCTGTTCTTGTCTTTTCTTGAGCTCTTTGGTTATTATTATGTCTAATACTGTGTAGGTCCATATATCTGTCTTATACAGCATTCCAGTCACTACATAACATCGAAGTAAAATTGCTAAATACTGTCAAAGTATTAAGTAAATATACAAAGAAGTCTGGGTAATCATGGTTTGGTCCAAATATACTAGCTAGAGTTAGGCAATTGTTACTAATTGTAACATCCATGATGATAAATCTCCCTGAATTGTCAATTCTACTACCATGTAGTGTGCATTATTCAAACGTATTTATCAGAACAAAAAATCCACACCCGCTGATCTTGAATTAAAGTTGCAAAATTAACATTTCCCAAAATTTGTCTACATTTTCATCACAGTATGTTTTTTGAAAACATGCAATGTCTGAGCAAGGTAAAGTTAGACAGTTATTCTTTATTCAAAATTAAAACATTAAAATTTCTAAACAAAATACTTTTCGATATACAGTATTTGTTCATGAGTGGTCTACCTTTTTAGACCACTAAGTTGTATCATAAGGGATTATTATCACGGGTGACCTTAATTTCCACTTAGACGATCTATCTAATGTTGATGCTGTTATATGGGCTACTAGATTACAGGAGTCTGATTCAGCATGCGACAGAAGCTACACACGGACATGGCCACACACTGGATGTGGTCATATCGGAGGGAAGATACACGTCATTCATGGAGCAATTTCAGTGGTTGATCCATGCATAAGTGATGTAAAGCGGAACCAATCTGGCGATCACCTTGTTGTCCACGCAACACTGAATTGTAGTAAGCCAACAATGATATCTGTCATGACTGCTGACATTAAATTTGATGGGGAACCATTGACAAAGCTCTCACCAACAATCCAGGACGAGTTGCGAAATATCATCATGACCTCGCAATCGAAGTCCTGTGAGCTTGATTCATTACCTACAGATCTGTTCTTTTGATTATCATTGACCGAGTCGAAGGTTCCATTGTGTTTCAAGAAGGCACATATTAGACCATTGTTGAAGAAGCCTGGAATAGACAAGGAGGGGTTGAAGAACTACCGCCCAGTATCAAATCGGTCTTTCCTGTCTAAGATCTTGGAGAAGGTTGTGTCCCGGCGTTTACAGGTTCATCTCCACGCAAAGTTTCCTACATGTACATAATGAGCTTTTGCATTGGATATCAAAGTGCAGAGCGGTGCTTGCCATGCTGGACTTGTCAGCTGCATTTGACGTCATCGACCATGGCATACTTTATAAACGTCTGGAGTACTTTTATGGAGTGACTGATACCGCACTATGCTGAATACAGTCTTATCTAAATGAACGACGGCAGTGTGTTGCCATCGGATCTACCACTTCACAAGACAAAGAACTAGATCTCGGGGTTCCTCAATGGTCGGTGTTAGGACCACAAAAATATTGCATGTATTCCAAACCGATCAGAGAGATTTGGCGTCGTCTTCGATATCATTGTTATTCTGATGACACACAAATTTACATGGTCATCAAACCACAGGACAGTTGGCTTGTTAGACGGACATCAGTACCTGGATGAATCGTCTTTTCCCAAAATTGTCAGCAAACAATGGCTCGCCAGCTCAAGGTCGGTGCCGGAACTATTGAGATTGTCCAAGCTGTTAACAAGAGGCCCAGAGGGCCTGTATCGCTCACCTGGAAATGTTAGCAAAATTGAATTGAAATAGAGAGATGTTGCTGGTAGTGTACATGTATTACATTCATGGGTTATATGTATATGCAATTGGACAAAATCCTATCATTCCTATAGGAAAAGGAGGATTTTGAAGAATTTGCTATGTTTCCCCTATTGGGCCCCGCCCCTCTGCCCCCAGGGGGGTTAGACGCACCGTTTATACAAAATTGGTTCCTTTACCAAAGGATGCTTTAGACCAAATATGGACATATTCCTGTCATTCCTACAAAAGAAGAAGAATTTTGGGTATACTTTGATAGTTCACTGAACATGGGGAAACAAGTGAGCGCTATTGCCAAATCCTGTTACTACCAGATCAGGAACATCGGCTGTATTCGGCAGTTTATAACTGCAGATGCATGCAAGATTTTGGTGCATTCACTTGTTACCCCTCGGTTGGATTATCTGACAAGCTAACTAGTCGTCTGCAGAGGGTCCAGAACACTGCAGCACGGCTAGTTACTCGTACTCCAAAGAGAGAGCACATCACACCAGTGCTATATTCATTGCGCTGGTTACCCAGTTCCTATTATGTCAGCCGTCACGATCACTGCGGTCGGACACAGAATCATTGGAGTGTTTCGACCACGTTGTGGTTACCTGCTATCTGCTATTACAAAGTCAAATACCCTGGCTAAATTCAAGGACTTCAAAACTCACCTCTTCGTCTGCATCTTAAGCTCTTTGCACAGACTGATGTACATGTGCACTTTGAGATGATTATCTTCTTGCTTAATTTCTGTCTCACAATTATAACTAATACTATTATCCATATGTTGAAAAGCGCTTTAGAGTTATTTTACAAATTATTTCGGGCGCTATATAAGCGTTGTATATTATTATTATTATAATAAACACATAGTAACTTAAGAATTTAATACATTTGTCAGGTTTTTCACATATTGGGTTGATAAGATTTACTCTAGCAGGTGCAACCCAATTGGTGAAAAGTGAAAAAACAAATCTTTATATATTTTGGCTAATTAACATGTATCATTAGTGGGAATTGTTCACATAAGAGTTACTTTAAATGACAAGGAATTAACCTGCCTTAATTTTGGTCGTGTGGTGCAGTGGATAGCGCACTTGCCTTTCACCAAGGCGGCTGGGGTTCTATTCCCAGATCGGACGTGAAAAAGTTTTGATCACCTGCCCGACCACATGGGTTTTCTCCGGGTACTCCGGTTTCCTTCCACAATAAGACAACCGGGCCAACAAGAGTGATTAATATAAGTTGAAATAACTTGTTTCATAATTGTCGTAAAATAAATAAAGTTTATATTTATTTATTATACCTGTCATTAATGAATTAAATATAATTATCATGTTTTTACATATAGTGTTGATATGATTTGCGCTAGCATGTGTAACCAAATTTGTGAAAAGTGAGAAAAAATAACTATGTACTGTATTTTGGCTAATAAGACCTATAAGCGGATCTAATTAGTGCAAACGACCGAGATTAAAATCAGTTTTTATAATAATTGATCAACACATGGTGGTGAAAGAATTTAATACATTTGTCGTGTTTTTCACATACTGGGTTGATATGATTTACCCTAACAGGTACACCCCCATTCATGAAAAGTGAAAAAATATATATCCTTATATTAGCTTAATCGGAACGACCCAGATTAAAATCAGTTTATTTAATTAACCCCATAGCAATCAAAGAATTTAAATACATTTTTTTATGTTTTCACATATTGGGTTGATATGGTGCAACCTTATTGATGAAACATAAAGAATTTTTTTTTTTTTTTTTTGGCTAATTAGGGTATCTGCTTAGTGGGAATTGTTCACATCAGAGCTACTTTGAATAATAAGTTTACTCCTAGTTACTAAAGAATTTAATACACATTTCATGTTTTCATATATTGGGCCGATATTTGTTCTAGCAGGTGCAACCCAATTCGTGAAAAGTGAGAAAAAATATCTATATAATTGTTATTGCTCATTAGTGTGGATGGTCCACCTTAGTTACTTAATATATTAGTCCTGTTGGCACGCTAGTTCCCACACATAATTTCGAGGGACAATGTCCACTACAAAATAGCCTATTCCAGGGCTCCAAACTTACCTTTAAGATACACAATGGATGTAATTGTCCTTTGTATCATTCCAACATATTTTATTGACATAAACAGTGAAAAGGATTGGGCAGAAGTTCTTAAAATTTACTAGACCCTCCCCCTCTTATCCCTTGTGAATTTACAATTGTCCGACCGGCTGCCAATGCAAGAAAAATTCTCCCCCTATCCACTATCCAGACATTCACGTGATTGATCCATATATAAGCTAGCAAAATGTACCCCTCCCCAAACCAAGTTTGAATAATTTCTTGCTGAAAATTGACAATATATACTAGAGTAAAATTATCCCATCTTCAAGAATAGATGACCTGGGGTACCGAAATTTACATTAAGATAAAACCCCTGTTGATCTTGCCATCCATGAAGAGAATATACATTAGTCTGGAGAAGAATGTTAAATTATTGGTTAATTATTATTTTTTTACTTTGAACCCCTCCCTGGCCCCTGGAGTTGGGGTCGAAAAACTGTTTTAAAATTTGATACCCTCTTCCACAAAGGACGATTCTGACTAAGTCTGAACAAAACTCTGTTCACTTGTTCTTCAGAAGTCAAACAAGTAATTTTTTAGGAAGACAAATTGGTTTTACCCTGCGAGTACTTCAGACAAAATTGTGTAGACATCCCAACTCCAGTTACCCACTCAATCTCATTGTTCCAAGGATATAAAACATATACTCAAAAAAAATTCACAACATTTATTACAATGATGTCAGCATATACAAAATAAAATCATTCATTCAATCACAACTTTTACTCTTTCCTTGTATTCAATCTTCTTTTCATTATCACATGATGAGTTGTGCATACAATTATGCATTCCAGTTTTATACAAAAGAAATAATTTATCAAAGTTTGTATCATAATACACGAGAAACGCCAGCACTTTATAAAACACAAGCCTGGTGGCAGTCACTAGCACTGAATGGACACCGAGGATGAAATGCTGCTTTCTTCAAAATGCATTATAACCTTTCTACAACTCTGTACTGATTTTTTATCCCCAATGGCTTCATATATTTTGCTTGCTTCCGAAATGAGATGGACTCGGTCCGACTTTGAAGCAATCATTGGCTCAGGGAGATGTCTGCCAGCCATCAGAAGGGCTGTGGCCTGTTGACGATCTGGTGTATCACTGTCCGACCCATCCTCTGAAATATCATGCAAACAGTTTTAATGTTAAAAGATGCAAATTATTAAGGATTGTTTGTGTGTTGTGGTTTAATCAAATAGCAGAAATATTTTTCATTTCAACACTGAAATACTTCTAGAGGTAACAACAAAACTACAACTGCTGTTGAAAGTCAATTAGATAGATTTCTCTCGGTAAACATATAGAAACACTAACCTCTGTCGGACTTGCTGACATGGCGACGTCTGATGGACCTCTCCAAAAGTTGTTGTGTACGTGCTGGACATGCCCCGGCCATCATACGACCTGTTGCTTCATGTAAAAACACCTGGAAGACAAAAGATCTCAATTATAAGGCACAAAGTCCAAACAACAAGATGCAATGAAATTTTAAGGCAAACTTTTTTGAAGATTTTTGTGTAGAAATCAGTCGGTGGAAGTCGGTTAAGTTTTACATTATTCATCAATCTAGCATTGTGCTGTTCTCAAAATGGCACGGATATCAACATCTGAATGGATTTACCTTTGACATGACAGACTTGTAGGTTTTGGCAACCTTCCTGAAGCTGGCCAGGTCCTGCTGGTAAGCAATGAGTTCGGTCTGTGAGGCAATGGTGGACTTGTCTTCCATCTGGACAGACTCCCAGACCTCCTTCCTTGTCATTAACAACCAGTCAGACACTAACAATTGCAGATGCTGAAATAGAGGCAGACATTCATCAACCATTGTATAATGATGACAACATTCATATCATTAATGGACAGTACAGGATTAGTTGTTAGTTGTTTCTTCCCCTATCCCGCTACAAAACTTGGCAATGATTGTACAGTCCAAAATTCAAGCTTAGTTTTCATCACCAATTACTTCCAATTTATATGCAATAAACTTCAATTCCGACAGTGAAGTTAAATCAATACAGGTCAAAGTTCAAATGAAAGCAGTGATTTTTTAAGGTGAATTTGGGGCCAATATATAAAGCCCCATCCCCCATATGATTTTTGTTTTAATCTAGAAAATCAATGCAACAAGAGGCCCAGGGGCCTTAATAGCTCACCTGGTATTTTATTTTTCAACTTAAAACCTGCTGAGTACCATTCAGGTTTATCAAAGGAGTACAAGTAACAAAGTTGCATCTTCCATTTATAAATATTCAATTCCCTTTGCCCAAAGATTCTCTAAAACAAGTTTGGTTAGGTTAAAATCCCTTCAACGGTAAATCCCTCTATTTCCCCTAATGGGCCCCACTAATCTGCCCCAAAGAAGGGGAATCCACACACCTCAGTTTAAATAAAATTGATTCTTTTCTCCCTAAGAATGCTTCAGACTGCATTTGGTTTAAATCCCTTCACTTGTATAGTAGGAGAAAAAAAAACCTCTATAACCCCTATTGGGCCTCGCTCCTATGCCGCCAGAAGGCCCACACCCTCCGTTTATACAAAACTGAGAACCCTTTGGCCAATGATGCTCCAGCCCAAATTTGGTCAAAATCCTTCTATTGGTTGAGAAGAAGAACATTTTTAAAGATTTACCTATTTTCACCCTATTTGGCCCCGCCCCTCTGCCCCCAGGGGGGTTATACCCTCCGGTTATACAAAACTGAGAACCCTTTGGCCATGTATAGTAGGAGAAAAAAAACCTCTATAACCCCTATTGGGCCTCGCTCCTATGCCGCCAGAAGGCCCACCCCCTCCGTTTATACAAACTTGAGTCTCCTTTGTCCAAAGACGCTCTAGGACAAATTTGGTCAAAATCCTTCTATTGGTTGAGAAGAAGAAGATTTTTAAAGATTTACCTATTTTCCCCTATTTGGCCCTACAAGTAACAAAGTTGCATCTTCCATTTATAAATATTCAATTCCCTTTGCCCAAAGATTCTCTAAAACCAGTTTGGTTAGGTTAAAATCCCTTCACTTGTATAGTAGGAGAAAACAAAACCTCTATAACCCCTATTGGGCCGCGCTCCTATGCCGCCAGAAGGCCCACCCCCTCCGTTTATACAAACTTGAGTCTCCTTTGTCCAAAGATGCCCTAGGACAAACTTGGTCAAAATCCTTCTATTGGTTGAGAAGAAGAACATTTTTAAAGATTTACCTTTTTTCCCCTTATTTAGCCCCGCCCCTCTGCCCCCAGGGGGGTTATACCCTCCGGTTATACAAAACTGAGGGTATAACCCCCCTGGGGGCAGAGGGACGGGGCCAAATAGGGGAAGTAGAGGATTTTTTCTCTCCTACTATACAAGTGAAGGGATTTTAACCAAATGCAGTCTGAAGCATGTTTAGGGACAAAAGAATCAATTTTATTTAAACTGAGGTGTGTGGATTCCCCTTCCTTGGGATAGATTAGTGGGGCCCAGTAGGGGAAATAGAGGAAAACATCAAATATCCTTCTCCTTTAGTACCGATGAAGGGATTTTGACCAAATTTGGTCAAAATCCTCTGAGCAATTCACGACAAGTAGCATTTTAAAGGAAAAAGTTGCCGGACGCTGCATCATGGGATAAGCTCACTTCGCTCTTCGGGCCAGGTGAGCTAAAAATCACTTCGGTTTACCTCATCAGGAACTGTCAATTGTAACCCATAATCAACATATCACATTGATTCTTTTCTCCCTAAGCATGCTTCAGACTCCATTTGGTTTAAATCCCTTCACTGCTATAGTAGGAGAAAAAAAACCTCTATAACCCCTATTGGGCCTCGCTCCTATGCCGCCAGAAGGCCCACCCCCTCCGTTTATACAAACTTGAGGATCCTTTGTCCAAAGACGCTCTAGGACAAATTTGGTCAAAATCCTTCAATTGGTTGAGCAGAAGAACATTTTTAAAGATTTACCTATTTTCCCCTATTTGGCCCCGCCCCTCTGCCCCCAGGGGGGTTATACCCTCCGTTTATACAAACTTGAGTCTCCTTTGTCCAAAGATGCTCTAGGACAAATTTGGTCAAAATCTTCTGAGACATTTACGCCAAGAAGCATTTTAAAGGAAAAAGTTGCCGTGTATAGTAGGAGAAAACAAAACCTCTATAACCCCTATTGGGCCGCGCTCCTATGCCGCCAGAAGGCCCACCCCCTCCGTTTATACAAACTTGAGTCTTCTTTGTCCAAAGATGCCCTAGGACAAACTTGGTCAAAATCCTTCTATTGGTTGAGAAGAAGAACATTTTTAAAGATTTACCTATTTTCACCCTATTTGGCCCCGTCCCTCTGCCCCCAGGGGGGCTATACCCTCCGTTTATACAAACTTGAGTCTTCTTTGTCCAAAGATGCTCTAGGACAAATTTGGTCAAAATCCTCTGAGCAATTCACGACAAGTAGCAGTTTAAAGGAAAAAGTTGCCGGACGCCGGACGCTGCACCATGGGATAAGCTCACTTGGCTCTTCGGGCCAGGTGAGCTAAAAATCACTTCGGTTTACCTCATCAGTAACTGTCAATTGTAACCCATAATCAACATATCACTATTACATGTCATAAACAAATTCCTTTATATGTATATATATCACCCAATAAATTGTTAAGCTATTCCAATTTTAAAATTTACCACTACCTCATGACACTTTCTATCCATTGTTTTTTTCCTACCTTTTATTTCTATGAAAATCAATAAATTATTTGTGGTAGCCTTAAACTAACTGGACTCCACAGGTGGGACATATAGATGCTTTACTTGAACACTTATAATTATGCATAACATGCCCTGCCTGGGCCCGAACTGGTTAATAAAACTGTGTTTTACATTGCAATCTGATTTTCACAAATTCTTCTAATACAGTAATCTTGATCAATATACACTGTCATCAGTCAATAAGGCATGATGTGAATAATGCTCAACATATACGTGATAAGATGTTGTTGAAATGCAGCTGGGTGGTCATGCCACTGTGATTGCACTGCAGAAGCACTGCAACTTCATATTTTAATGCAATGCAACTACAATGCACCACAGGGACAAACACAATCTTCCTTCACCTAAAAACAGCAAACATGATGAATATACGAAATACTGACGGTGTGTTGAAACCTGAGGGGGACCCAAATCTTATCAAAGATGCGTCTCGCTTTCCTATATAATATAAAAATGTTATTGCCAGTCTTTTAAAGGCTATAGCACGAACCCAGAAAAGCAGCAATACCTATATGATGATGGTCAAGAAATGGAGCAAGTAAAATGAAGGTTATAACCAAGACCAATCAAGTTCATTTGAATCATGACTTACTGAAACAATTTTGTCATTTTCTGTCATGTATGTGAACTTCAGGCTATCCCGCAGCAACCTGCCGGCTCTATCACACTGACGAACACAATGGTTTGCTCCATGTACATTAGATTGCAGATTTCGCCTTGCTCTGAAGGCTACCAAAACTGCCTTTGGTAAAGGATCACTGAAAGAAAATACAAATACACTGTAGATACCAAGCTAAAGGCATAGAAAGACTGCTTAACAGAACCCAAAACAACAGTTGTTTTTATTCATTTAACTTTTGAATTTTGTGCTTGGATACCGATTATGAAATCATTTAGAAATGAGGAGCTATAGCCAACTTACTCGGATTGCTGCAGTGCTCTTGGGAAAGCATCACACTGAGAGTAACACCTTTCTGCATTTTCCTCGTCTCCCGACAACCAGTACATTGCCACACTGACAATGGATGACCACCACCTTGCTACCTCATCCACACCTATCAAACACAATTCATAGAAATAATTTAGCTTAATGACTTTTTAATAGGTCAACTTCTAGTAAGTAATATTTAACTGCATGTATATTTCCACAAAGAAGGAATGTAGTTTCAGTTAACAGCAAAATGAATGAATGGCCATCTACCTTTCAGGTCGTTTAAAATAATAAAAGAGGCACATAATGGCAGAACTTACCCGAAACAGAAAGGCCAACTGTTGTTGTTTGAAGGCTGGCACAGTCTGACAGCAGTTGTGTATACAGAAGAACCTCAGCTGATTGAGATGGACCACTTTGTTTCTGTGGCTCGGGTGTAAGGAGGGAGTACAGGGCCTTCTCCAACAGGAACTCCCTGAAAGCTTGGGTTACATGTTCCAGAGGGTCAGCTACAACACAAACCATCAATAAAGTTACAGCACTATTAAACTAAGCTTTGACTTTTGGTTAGATGGGGGAAAAACAAGTAATAAATCAGAAATATTTCAGCTTTTGACATAGTTGAACTTTTACCAACGGACTAAATAACTCAAAATTTGTGTTAGAAAAATAATAGAAAAGTATTTTTTTTCAATTGCACAACTCATACTCAGTCCCTACAGATTTTTCTATAATCTATGTTTAAACCTATGTCTGTAATTAGTTAACATAAATCAACGCTAACCTTCATTTCCGGACACTGTGAAGATGCTGTTCTTGCCACCTATTTGCCACGATCCCTGAACAAAGAACACATGACCTTCTGGATGACACAACCACTGCATTTTGGCTGGAATCTGGTCTCCATTTCCACTGCACACCTTCCTTGCCTGCCTCAGAAAATATCTCTGGAAAAGTAAATTGAAGAAAATGAAAACCCATCTGTTTAATCTTCACATTTCCTCTTGTATTCTAACTTCTTTATCCATATATCCTTTTACAGTTGTTTGTAATATGCAAATTTTTTCAAGTTGAATCACATATTTATTTAAATTACATTATGTATTTTTAGTGCTTTGGCAGAAATTCAGAATTGTTTACTCACCCTCAAGAAAAGGAGGTTCCACGGCAATGTTGCCTGAAGTCTGACAGCAGCTGTAGCATAGATCTCGGCCTTTTGAGCTACAGTGATGTTCCTTCCTGCTGCCTCAGCCATGTTAACAGCACACAAGGTCAGGTTCAGGCCCCATATGTTGCTACCTGGCACGTGTCCTGGGTATAAGGTAAACATTATTTTTCCTTTGAATAAATTACATTTGCATTTCTTCAACTTCAAACATTGTTCGAAATTAAATCAAAATAAAATCATGTTACTAAATAAGGGAACCAGAAAAAGATCATAAATTGTTCAGATCAACAAAATTCACAATCAAAAAAATATAATATTATCCGATATAAATCATAACGACTACTAATTCTGAGTTATCTCCCTTATACCTGTAAGGTGGATCTGGTTGAGTTTGTGGTACACCATAGCAGCATCTCTAGCTGAAGTCTTCACATCTTCATCAGTGTTGCTGCTCAAGTTACTGATCTGGTTGGAGATCCATTTGCCAAGGTAAAGCCTGTTGAGTACCATTCTGACGATGTTCCACAGTAACCCTGATGCTAGATCCAGTCGTGTTGTGGACAATGGGCGTCCCAAGGAGGAGAGTGATAGACGAAACTGGTTCACTGCTCGCGTATATTCTTTCTGCAAGAACACAAAGGTCTGACTTCAATAATGTGAAATGATACAGTTGTCGAAAGTGTCCTTTACCTCCCATTTGACAAATGATTCAAAGCACTCAATTAATCCAATTAATGCCCATTTCCAACTCAGATCAAATTCATATAGTTTCTTTGGTCTGATTAGTTTGTGGTTAAATTAAATTAAAATCATTGTACATCACTTCAATAAAATTTTGCTACAATATGCATCTATCAGTGTTCTCTAGGTTTGAAAGGTGAGGGGCATTTGTAGTATTAAACAGGCAAAAATTCAATATTAACACAATCCTGTGCTTTGTAGAGAAATGTATGCATAGATTATCAATATGCAAAGTTACTAGCTGTATACTAACCCTCCCAAGATAGGTATCTGCTTGATTCTGATGCCTCCAGAATGACACTGCTGCTTCACTGTTTTTCTTGGTCACAGGCTCCCCATATATGAAAAGTCTAGCAAGCACTCCAGTGACAATGATACCATTTAACATCCACATCATCAAAGTAGGGAACATCCAGTCCATAAATCCATTAGCAGCTCCTACAAAAATCCACTTTCAATAAGCTGCTTAAAACTTAAAATTGTATTTGCCTTGATATATATCATCAAATGAATTGCATGCAAAACTATAACAAACATAACTTAAACTCAGAATTAACTATTCTTGCTACACTGTTTATGGCAATTTATCTATTAGTTAAATGTGTGCTAGCTTTAAAATTTCCTAAGTAAAACACCAATAATTTTACTTTCCTATCTTGAGTAAATGTTGATGAATTATCTTCAGAATATTTTACAATACAAGTAATGAAGAATAAAATTCACAATCAAAATTTCAAAATAATCACCTTCAGATACACCCTGAAGTGTCCTTCCTGGAATACTGGCAGCTCCCATCTCAAATCCTTGTGATCCAGTTTTCAGCAGAGCACCAAAGGGGTTGAATGCAATCACAGCAAACATAAAGATGCACATTGCCATTCGTGTCTGGTCACGCATGGTGTTGATTGTTGCCATACCAAACCCATTATTTGTGTCGGATTCTGTTTCAAGAAATAATCAGAGTTGATACGATTCCATTAAATACTAATTCATACTTCATAGCAGAACTAAATTAATACAATGTTGCATCTGTGATTTCTTTTCTGTCCTCCATTGTTTCTTTCAGATTCTCTAACTCAAGGTTAACTGCCAATTGACCAAGACATAAAGAGAATCAAATACCCTTTAACTGGAACAAGAATTGGTTCTTGGTTAGCTTAGCCCAAATGTCCATTTTTGCTATATTATTAAAACAAAGTAAAAATGTCTAGATTCTGGTTTCACCCATTCAAAAATGTATACATATCCAAGTAAAACTTACCAGATTCATAACTTGGACTAGCAGGTGATGAGACTTCACTGTCGCTTGTATATTGAACGCTATGCGTGGGAGATCCTGTCTCTGATCCAGGCGGAGTAATCACACATGACGCTTTCAGTATTTCTTCAACATCTGTAATGAATGGGTATTGTAGTATACATGTATAATCTGGTGTACTTTATACATGATGGATTAACTTGCAGTGTTTCTTCAACATATAAAATTTTAAACTATGCATGTATGATGTGGTGTACTTTAAGTAACAGTTTACCATAATAGCATTGCGGTATGGGATAAAAAAATCTCCATCAGCAGTTATATATTCAAATGTCATGCAAATATAAAACAGACTCTCCTAAGGATTACTTTAAGAACCATTCTGAGTGGTTTTAGAAACATTTCCATACTAAACTATATATGTTACTATAATCACCTGTAGGGTAAGTACTTGATTTCTGGGAACCCATTTTCAGAGCCATATTCTCCTGTTTTAATCTCCTGATTGTGTTTTGCAGATATCGAATGTAGTCAATAGCTTTCTTCAGAATTGCAGATTTGTTCAACTGTAAAACAAGCAAAATATTTGCAAATGAACGTGTTTTATTACATAACATGTCACAATATGAAAATTGATTAATTAGCAGGAGTAGAAACTACCATTTTTACAGACTCTAGGTATATTTCAAATTTAGTCGCCTCTTACGATCATGTAATGGGGGCAGCAGGTACTATTCTTACGCTCTACCTGCAGGGACTGTAACCCACATGCAACAGTATCAAGCAAATGGATAATTTTAATTTAGCAAAAACAATTGCATAAAATTATCATCAACCCTTTTTTAATTCACCAAACGCAAAATAAATCAAGTACTATCATTACATATATATAGATTTATAACTAAACCTGATCAGACTTGGAGTACAGAACCGTGAAAATGTATTAATTTACTCGAAATCTACTTGAGCAAAATCAACTAACTTCTCGATTTTAAAGGATATGCAGTTTTTATTTAGTAAAAAATCAAGAAACACCCATTATCAATCTTTTTAGTCCTCCAACAATTGAAAGTAAGATCAAATACCACTACACCATTCAAAGGATGAACACATATTGCAAACTATTTACCTTTGCTTCAGTTCCAGCAACTAGATCTTTGAGCTCAATAATTTTATCATTGATACTCAGTCGATATCTTTTTTCAATGGCATTATGAGATGTTCTCTTCTCCCCCTTCTTTGGACCCTTCGTCACCGAGTTGAGTCGGTTGATGGGCAGCTTGTCAAAGCCGTCATTATCCTGTACCATCTGTATGGGAATGCTGGTGGTGGTGAGAATGGTTCCAGTGTTGGTCATAACTGTCTGGAGGGGTGCCATGGTTTTAGGAGGGGAGGAGGCCTGAGATATGGTTACATAGTTTGGGGGTGGTGACAGGGTCTGTTGGGGAACACTAACACTGATGGGCTGTGACACACTGACAGGATGGACAGTAGCATTGCTTGTTGTCTTGGGCTGTGCTTGAAGAAGCAACTGAAATAGAATGAAATTTTGTGATTGCAATTAACACTTGACCACATATTGAACACATCTTTCTTGAATGTTAACAAGAATATTTTATACTGTTTACGTTCATTGAAAAATTATAATTAAAACTGAAACGTCAATAATCCAGACTTTGATTGGAGCCTTTATTTTTTACGTGTCAATATCATTTATCTCATCATGAACAGTTACCGGCTAAAAGCAAGGATTTGATTTTAATACTATAATCGGATTTGAAAATGATTGGATTCCCTGCCCTACCATCATGGTATGTGGGGGTTTCTCTGGGTACATTACGACCCACTGCTCGTTTATCTCGGCCAACAAGAGTGCAGATTAATATCAGCTGGAAAAACTGTTCATAACCGTTAGAAAATTAAGCTTATAAATTAAAATGTTCATATGGTAAACCTTCGGTCAGTTCGAACAAAATCAAATAAATATTGATGAACCTGTTCGGATTATACGAAATTATGCTTCAGAAAATAAGCGTGAGTTCGAACTATCGGCAAAATATTCGGCAAAGTGTAAATCAAGTCACAAACATATACCCGACATATTTATAAATGGGTGAAATGATAGTATATTATTTAATTCGATGTTAATTGATCATTAATTTTCTTCATTTCGAGATAATTATGATCGTTATTGCGAAGCAGAGTCCATTGTGTAGGCCCCAAAACAGTACATGTCTCATTTGTGACACAAAAGTTAGACTACCTAGTTTGTATCAGATACCTAAATAAGGAGTCTCTGCGTGGTTAGTTTTTTTTTAATCAGAAACTATTTTATATATTATTTCGTAATGAATGGTCCGTTTAATAAATTGAAAACATAGTCTACATAACCTGTTGCGTTTACAAAGTGCAACTGTAAATATAGGTCTATATGTTAGTAAAATTAGGTAAGAACATCAACATGTCTGCTTTTAAATTATAAGTGATATAGTCCTAATACCTACCAAACTTATTTGACACTTCAAAATTACCCATCGCTAATTGGGACACCTGTGGATTTTTGGAATTGGACATGAATGCTAATCACGTCACTCACAATGGCTGGGCGGCCGATCCCTACCGCGACATATCGCGTGTCCTGCCCTACCTGGTGTGAGCTGGGCAATAATTAAGGGATGTCTGGTGGCAATTAAATAATCAAAATGCTTAGTTAACACTGTATTTGACAATACACGGGCGATTTCTTAGTTTGCCATACAGCGTGACATCAGTTCGTACTGATCGCATGTTATTTATACATTGTCGAGGCCTAAGTTGCAATTGGCTGTCTCATGCACGATGTATTTTTCAAACAATGTAAAAAATGAATCAACGCTAAAACCTGTGACATATATTTATGGTTTGTTTGTCACAACTGTAATGCAATGCTCACACATACATCCCATTACACTAAACGTGTCTGTTGATCAAAGTATTGGCATTTTTTTCGGGGCCGATCGCCGCGAGCTTTCAATGGAGTTTGCCGAAAAAAAAATCGTTCTTCATTTGACAAGTTCGGACTATCCGAAATAGGGTCAATCAGAGTTTGAACTATCACTAGCTAGAAAATTATTTTTTTTTATTGAAAAAAATATGTGTTCGAACTATGAGCCGATTCGAACTGACCGGAGGTTTACCGTATATAATGTTTCAAGGCTTTTAAACTGCACATACCTGTTGAAGCTGCTGAAGGTTGAATTGGTTGATTCCAACATTAGTGGTGTGAGGAGCGATCACAGGTAACTGAGTAGACACAGGTGTCTGGGTTATTGTTTGGGCGACTCGCTGGACCTGTGGCTGAGCTACCACCTGTGGCTGTACCTGGACTTTTTGTTGTTGCTGCACAGCAGTTGCTTGTGCAGCCTGCTGCAAAATCAACTTGAGCTGCTGTTGTAACTGAGCTGCCTGCTGTTGTTTCTGTTGCTTTTGTTGAAATTGCAAGAGTATTTGCTGCTTTTTCTGAGCTACCAATTGTGCCTGTCGAATCTTGAGAGCAGCCTGCTGCAACTGAACACTACTTGGATGAGAAATGTTAATGACTGGGGGTTTGTTAACAGGTTGACCAGCAAGAATCTCAGTCTGTAATGTGTTCAAACTCACATTTGGTGTTTCACTTAATGACTGAGATAAGCTTGCATCAGCTGATATTGTTTGTGATACAATAGAAAGCTGCTCCTCCAAGGAAAGTTCTTGTTTTATACTGAAGCTGTTATCAAGGGGAGGTTCTTGTTTGATACTCGTGTCCATAAGAATGGGATTTGTGGAAGAACCCAGCAAGTCTGTATCATTTAAACTTCCTGACAATGGAAACTGTGAATCAAAAGGGTCACCATCTACTGATCCATCAGGAAACATGTAATTCACCATGTCTAAAAGAAAAAAAGAAACTCTTTTCAACACAAAATCCAAAGTTCCAAAATGTATCTTTCCAACTTTCTAACTTGTTTTCTCATAAGCAAAAACAATGAATGTGACCAAGACAAAAAAAAGTAACTAAACTTGCATGTTGAAATTGACTTTAATTTATAAAACTGGGTTTGGAGCTCAAGCAAGTTGCCTCATGCCAAGTGTCAAACCAATAACTATTGGCCATTAAATGCATTATGCTCTTTGGAACGCACAACAAGTCAGGTTTGACTTCAGTGTACGAATGAAGATAACTATCAACTGAATAGTGGATATACCATGCAGGAAATTTCAAAATGTGTTTTTTCAGCTTACCCTTCAGGCTTCACATGCATATATAATTCAATCATTGTTTCAGTGCTTATTAGAACATACATTACTTTACATGAATGGTTTCAAGATACATTGTATGTATGGTCAGAGAGACTTATGTTCTATGTAAACTTGTAGTTTGACTGTTTCTAAATATAAATGATTGCACCACCATCTGCTCTAGATCTTGACCAATCAAATTTGTTGTTCTGATAGGGTGACTGTTGTGGTTTATCCCAAACTGGTGGGAATCTATTTTCAGGCACACAACACGGACAGAATCGACTTAATGTAATTGTTGTTTGTGTGTGCATGTTCTTTGCATCTTATTTTTAATGTGTAAAAATTTGTTTTCAGAAATTGGAACTGATGACAGTGATGTATAATGATGGATTTTTCTCTTGTAGGTATAGTTTCCAACTAGAAATGTCTTGCAATATTCTGTTTATGGAATCGAGAAACATTATACCACAATGCGATTTTGTTATTTTAAAGAAATCAGCACTTTTTAGCAGAGGGTCGGGACTTATGACAGTTAAAAAGTGATGCAATTTTATAATTCAGTAATTGACGAAACTAAAAATGGCCAATACAATCCATATTGTATACGCAGGTGGAGAACCAGTATGTCCTTATTATTGTTAAATAGACGAGAAAGAACTCAACATGCTCTTAAAATATAATTGTATTCGGACAGTAAATCATGAAATATGCCAGTGACTACTGTAGCCACGAGACCGATGACTGATGGCTAGGTTCACGTCGACCTCAAGGTCGATCGCTAGCCCTCGTTCCATCTAGATTACACATAATATCGCTACATCTTAATATAAATGGGCATATACTGTTTATTAATGATGATTTAAGAATACTGTTTATCACTTCTTAGACATGATTTTCGACGCTTCAAATCTAAAACACCGGTTGCAACATGTAAACATATGATTTAACGCAAAATTCGTCTGCATAAAACCAAATAAACATCAGCCATAACATCAAATCAAACAAGAATGTTGACTCCAAATTTATGTGAAATGATCCTTACCTTCAACATCATTTAATGAGACATTTTCTAAATCATTTGCCGATATAAAATCTGTTCCAGCATCGGGAAAAGTATCCGCTGGCAGTTGCCAGCTGAGATCGTCCGCCATCTTCGCAGCTCTGAAATAGTTTGCAGATAGCACCACGAGCCAACAGCCAATCAGATTTTTTATTCCGATGGGGTGATTTTTCGTCACTGGCCTGTTCTTAATTTATGCAGGTGCCCCCGGAAATAAAACATCAAGGTTGTTACTAAATTAAACTATTTTCGCTTTAACCGGAAGCTGCGCATTGACACCAAATTTGAACAAATTAATGTCACTTACAGTCAGCAAAACATGACCTGGAAAGGTCTGGGTCGTTCTAGGATAATATAATGCCTATTTATAAACCTATGACTCAAAGTCATGTACAAGTGATTTAGGATTGTTATATAAAGGGGTCGGCTTGCTGTCACAATATACATTGGAAGTGAACACACACACGGCTACTAACAGAAACAGACCAGAAATTGATAACAAGATGTCTTTGACAGTCAAAGCAACATTACATCGCGCAGAGCCCGAAATACGACGCTTTCCTGTACCTGCAGATGTGTCTAGCAGTTTCGATTACTTGAAGAAGAAGATATCCGACGTATTCCCCGGGCTGCACAAGGGACTCTTTTCTCTGTATTGGAAAGGTAGTTATATATAAAGCATACACAGGCCTACTATGTATATATGTATTATTCTGCTTCATCCAAACTGTTAAAAACCATCAAAACAATTATATAAACAGTTAAGATTTTACTGGCAGTAATATTTTATCATAAAATTATCAGCCTTCATTTAGCTCAATCTGTGCAGGTATAATTGCATTATCGTTCACTATGGTAAGAGAAAACTGAACTGCTGTTATTATAAGTCTTAGGTACTCTGATTACAAGTACAGCGTATGTATAATATGTATACAGATAAAAGTTATTGTAGTACTAATTACTGAATTATCCTTATGAGTTATGATTTTTTCATACATGATTATAAAATAGAGTGAAAGTGTATGTCAAATGGTATACAATTTGTATGTCTTGGCAGGGATGTGTCCTACACATCCCTGGTCTTGGCAACCTACAAAATATTGTAAAATGTTTAACTTCAGACCTGTATGTTTCACTTCGATTATGTCAATTAATTATTTGGAAGATATTTTAGAATTGAGTGTAGAAATTACATTACAGTTTGGATTATAAATGTATTATTAAAATATCTTAAAATTTCTGTTTAAATGTTTTTTATAACAGAATAATAAAAAAAGACCTATACAGTTTTCCTCAAAACTACTTGTTTTTTGTTCTTATGCATCATTATATTCATATGTAATAAGTGGATGTGATGTATCATTTAGATCAAGATGGGGACCTGATCACATTTAACTCTGATGAAGAGCTGTTGGAAGCTTTGGGATTTGTGAATGATGGCATGCTGAGAATTGTCATAAAAGGTATGTCAAATATAATTTGTTAATAGACCAGTGAACAAGACTTTGTAATGAATCCATCTAATTAATTATGACATGATGTTAGGGAAAGTGAGATAAAAACTTTAAATTTGTATATCCTTACTGTACTACATAAATTAAATGATATCATTATATCATTTTTGTGCTGCGTAATATCACGGACTAATTCTGTGGTAATATCCATGAACAGGGAAGTATTTGATAGAAAAACCTGAACAGTCACAAGATGATGAGTATGCATGTGAAAGTAAGGAAATTGTAGAACTGTTTCCGTGTATTAAACATTTCCTAAATATAGTTGTTTTCGTGTGGCATCACAAGTACTTCTACTTATAAGTGCACTCACTGAGCTCAAGAGTAATCTCGGGGAAAAAAAATAGTTGCATCTGAGGATTTTCCATTTTTCTGAGGATTTTTAAATGACTCAAATCACATCTTTTCAAAAGACCTTCATAGGAAAGGTATTGATTTCTTTTTGGCAATTATTATTTCATTTAGTGTACAGTGCTAATCTGTAATCACTTGAAATTTCTATTACATGCAAAGAAATCAATCTAACTTTGGACATATTTCCTCATTTATAATATGGTACAAAATTTAAATGAATTGGTCCACATGCATTCACAACTTTGATAATTGGTATGAATTGTATGAATTAATATATTGCCATGAAGTATATTCATTTCCTGTTTAGAAGTAATATAATGATTAGTCAAGAAATCCTTTGCCAATTTTTAAAGAGGACTTATTTTCTCATTATTTATATAAGCACAGAACAAGGATTTATGTTTTTGGTTATCTTTTACAGAAAAATATGTTTTAAAAAAACCAGACTTGTTTTTCCTTTTTTTATGGAGGTCTCCATAGAATGCCAGTTAACAATATTGGTATTTTATATGATAAGGTCATATTTGGGGTCCTGTGCAAGTATTTGAAATAAATTCCATGCAATATCGGGGGACAGCCTCAATTTGAACACTGATTCTTTGAACCAAGAACAAGCTTGATATTCCAGCCCCTCGTAGTAAGATGATAGCATTTTAAAAAGATTTATTGATCTGTTAGTGATGTTAAATGTAATGAAGAATCTTGCATTATGGCTATTTTTAACTCTTTGTTTGTCAGAAGTTCAGTCTGGGGCCATTTTCTTATGAAATCGCTGTATGAATTGTCATCATTGTGTGGCCAGGTGATTTGAGTCACTATCAACACATGGTACAGTAGTTGTAGGTGTATTGGAAGAATAGAGAAGGTTGTTTTATAACTCTCAATAAGAGTTGTTCTATTGATCAGTGGACCAGAGACACATTAAATATATATATCAAGCAAGCTGTCTACTTTTTAAGTATAATCCTTTTTAAAATATGTATATAGGTAATTCAATAATCGATAACATAACTTACAAATAGCTATGAATCACCATTTATACTCTAGTCATGGTTTGATAGATTAGGTCACTCCCTACCTGAACACAGGGCTTATAAATATGTGTTACTAAATTACAGTATCATTTTTAGTTACGAATGAAGTATACATGTAACTTTGTTTCAAATTATTTAATAAAAGTTAAATCAACAAAAAGTATCAAAATATCTTTGGTCTTTGATTCAATAATACCAGTGACATATATGTGTGATTGAGCCAAAACAATTAAATTACAGTGTGCATCAGTGTTTACCAAAAAGCACATTATGTTATCAAATGTAAGATAATAAAGATATAGCAAACAGTATCACAAAAGTTTCATGAGCATTTTACCCTATGCCTTATTGATTACACAATTGCATAACAACCTGATTTCATTATACAGAAGGAAACCCTCAGCCTACACAAGAGCCAAACTCTGACGAGGGGACCGGAGTACAACACCCCAATGTGGTCTGTGATGGGTGTGAGGGGGCAATATTTGGTGCACGCTTCAAGTGTGTCATCTGCCCAGACTACGATTTGTGTGCAAGGTGTGAGAAGCAAGGAATTCATGGCGAACATGACATGATGAAGTTAACCACCCCCATTAATGGAGGACAAGGACTTTTCGGATCATTTTGTGGGCCTCCCCCACATGGCCAACATGGACCTCATGGGGTAAGTGGCTAACAATATCCTTCATACTTAGAGTATATACTCTGAGTATAGTAACTATAATGATTCTCATTCAGTCAGTCTGTGAACTGATAATTGGTACACATTGTACGTCAGTCAATATTTTATAGAATCGTAAGAGCAAAATTGATATCTTTCAGAATATTTTTGTTTACATTTTTGTAGATTTACGTAATAACATGGAACACATTCCTTTTATTCTTGTAGTTTGTGCCCCCTCCTCACTTCCGTCGCTGGATGCAGAGGTTCATGAGGCGCTGGCATAACAGGAATGCTCCTGGCAACTGTGGAGAGGAAGGTCAGAACCCTGAAACTGAGGAACAACAGGAAGATCCCCAAGGGGATGGAACTCCAGAAGAATACCTCAAGACAATTGGAGAGTCTGTCCAGGCAATGCTCGACCCCTTTGGTAGGTTTGGTTTCATTTGTTTAGTTTTTCTCATGATCAGTGTTATGGGCTACATCCACTGCCATTCAGACAAACAAAATGGCAAAGTTGGAATACAAAACATGATTTGATAAGAGTAAAATATTTCATTGATTAAAATGAAATCATTTTAAATTCTCCCAGGTTTTATCATATATTTTAATACATACATGTAATTTGTTCATGTCACTGATGAAATCAATTTGTTTCCTAACAGGAATAGATGTAGATGTGGATGTTGAGACCAATGGACGCAGAAGTCACTGTGGTGGAGGGAGACGTGGCAGATCTGCTGGACGTGGCAACTGCAGAGGGCGTGGCCAGTGGGGAGGAAGCTGTCCCAGGATGGGATCCCGTGGTAATGGATCTTGTCCCTTTGCCCAGGGGAAGGGCCCAGCCAAGAAACAAGACGAGGAGAATCAGAAAAGAGGAAAGGCCGAACCTCAGAAGACGGGAGACGGAGAGCCATTGGTGAAGGAAACAACCCCTACCCCATCTCCTATGCCCCAGACTCAACAGCAAACCTGTCCCATGAACATGGTAATTGCACTTATAAATAGCTTTTGCAACTTTCACGTACATGGTTCAACTTTATACAAAAAAAAATCAATGAGCAAATATGAATTGTGAATTTAGATTTGAAGATAAATTGGCCCAGTGAAAAAAAAACCTGATCAATAATAATGAGGAATAATTGGATGCAAGATTATGATACTTTATGGTTATTTTTGTTAGTTTTATCTGTTCTTTGAATACATCTGTATTTTTAATAGTTTTTTGTTAATAATTCATAATGTTATTTCCTTAATGACAGGAGACCAGTGGGAAACCAAAAGAAGCAGATGAGTGGACTGTGTTGTCAGGGGAGGTGGAAGCTGATGGACAGCATCCAGCACCTTTACAACCTATCCCAGCCTCTGCACCACAAGTCCCTGGGTCTGCTCCTGGGTCCTTCCCCCAGCCTGCTCAGGGTACTGCTCCCGGAGCTGAGCTGATCTACCCTCCCTCTGGTAAGAACACTAGATTAGAAACTTCACTAGCATTTTGCTGTTTGAAAATATGAAATATAACATCAGTTAATTAAAAAAAAACTTTCCTGAAAGAAACTATATTGCTTTTACCTTTGTCCGAAATCCATAGTTAATAATGAAACATCTGTATTTTCAATTTTATGCATTTTCAATAAAATGTTACTCAAGTCTATCAAAGAAATTTCATTAAATTTCAATGTAGAAATTTCGTAAGTATCATCCTTACCTTATTGAAAGTTGTGTGTTTGTTTCTGCAGACCCCAGAGTGATTGATTCCCTCAGTCAGATGCTGGCAATGGGATTCCATAACGAGGGAGGCTGGCTTCAGCAGCTGTTGGTAGAAAAAGACAGCGACATTGGAAAAGTCCTTGATGAGATAAAAAGACGTCAAGTCTCCAGGCAGAATGCTAATGGACACATGGCCTAAAGCTGATGTTTTCAGACTTATTTCGGAAACGACTTCTGACCTTGCCCTCGGACAGTGACCTTTGAACCTTTCATGTTATTTGTAACCATAGTATGTAACCTGATGTTTAGTGGTATCTAAATCACATGTTTTGTTTTAAATATATTGCTAATTAAGATTTAGAGAATTTTCCTCATTTGGCTGTTTTCAAAACTGTTAAGCATTAATGCTTTAAATATATTGTTCATATTCAAGATTTAGTAAAATTTGCAACATTTGGCCGTTTTCAAAATTCTTAAGAATTCAATATCTGATAACCATATATTTGTATACTTTTTCATTAATATTAAGATATATTGTAGAAAAGGATGGATATGTATATTGTCATAGTATCATACTTCCCAGTTTAGGCCGTTTTCAAAAACAACTGTATTTTGATATGTATGTTGTATTGAACTTTATGTACCATATAGATATTGTACACGATCATGATTTCGGCCCAAGCATAACATACCATGAACCGAGTCATTCTGAGGACAATGTACCTGGCAACGTGACTGTTCCACGAGTATAGTGCTATACTGTATGTAGCAGGACAAGTTATACCTAGTGTGTGGTAGATCTTGCATAATGCATATTGAAGCAGCCAGTTTGACTCAATTTTTATATTGTTATGCTTATATTGGTGTTGGTATAGTATTTACTCTAATTTTTTGTGGTTTTAGTTGAAATTCCTAAGGTATTGAATCAATAATTGTATTACATCTTATTGAAAATATTAATTGGTTACATTTTACCGAATTGTTTCTTATACATGTATTGCTTTATTGTGATAAAGGGGTAATATCAAATGAATATGATCTATGGTTAGGATACACAGGAGACACCTTTCTAATTAAGCTTCTATTGAAAAAACAAAATTTATTTTTAGGAAGAATAGGTATAAAATCATATTATAAATTTCTGATAAGACTTGAGCAATGATTATGGTCTCTTCATTAGACCATTGTAAGAGAAATATGAACTGTTTCCTCATTGCCAGTGACACAACTTATTTTTAAGTTGATTGATGTCAAGTTTTTGTGTATGCATTGGACCTTTTCAAATTTGAATATTTTCCTTACTATATATGGTTATAATGATTGACTGTTATCCTTATTGTAACATATATCTATTTGTTAGTCCATGACCAGGATTTGGTAGTTAAGTGATTTTGGGGTCAAATGTGGTTATAGAGATTCACATTCAGAAAGGTAACAGAAGGCGTGGAAAAGTACTCCAACTTTGGCTGCAAAATAAGTTAAATACCAAACAAATGATATTTGAAGAATGATTCAAGAGAGGTCTGAATAAGAAAGAAAAGGAAGGTTGTTGTGATGAAGGTCACTGTAAAAAGTGAAGTTTAGTTTGACAAGGTCACGAGGGTCAAGGTGGAAGGTCAAGTTTGGAATTGAACCAATGAGAGCAAGGAAAGAAGAGGAGCAATCACCAATGGACTTTCACTTTTACTAATATGTATTACCGTATATATGTGTCAAATAAACCTGTCTAAGTCAATGCAGTATGTTTTTTTGGTTTAATTCATTGTAACTGTTAAGGGGGCTGGATTAGTCTTCATTGATATTGGATCAGGTTTTTAACCACTTATCACATCATCATACAAGATTAAATGACATGCATAGGAAAATCAAATTCACTTTTATTCTCAAAGTTTTTGAAATGGTAACTATAAAACCGATATTTCTGGCTTCAAATTGTCGGACCAATATCATGAAATTTACTTATGTACATGATGACACTTATTCGTCACTCAAGTTGGGACAGAATCATTTGATTTCTCCTATAATCATGTCATTATGTATCTAATGTTATGCTCTGATAAAACTTCATTGAAACCATGATTCTTGATGAAAGAAAGGTATATTCTTCCTCCACAGAACAGCCATTAGATGTGTACCAGCACATAAGTGGTCTTTCCAATAAAAAAGAAACTTCTCATACTCTTAAAGTTGGTAATGATATTTTGATTCTTCGTTGGATAAAGCAGAAGCTATCAATGTATTTACTTTATTAACAATTCTGATATGGATTTACCTCCCCTTAGTCATATCAAACTCGGTGAAATCATAATATCAGATCAAGACATATTGGATCAAGTCCAGCTAAATAAGGATAATAAACCTCCTGGGCCTGCCAATGTTTCTCCTAAAACAATAGAAAATCTTTTACCTTCTTTAATTTTACCACTTAAAATTCTCTTTCATAAAACAATTACTTATGATAGTATTCCTCTAGCCTGGAAGTCTGCTAATGTTAACGCTCTATATAAAGGTAAAGGAGCTATTGATGATCCAAATAATTATAGACCAACTGCCATTACACCCATTTTAAGTAAAATATTAGAAAAAATAATGTTTAAGAATGTCTTTAATCATGTAACCAAACATTATCAGTGACCACCAATCTGTATTTCAACCTAGAAACTACAGTCAACTAACTTAAATATCAATAGATAATTTAACTATGAATATCATTGATAAAGGTAAGGATGTTAGATTAGTATTATGTGATATAAGTTAAGCTTTTGACAGGGTCTGGCATCAGGGTCTTTTGTATAAGTTAAAACAAATAGTGTTTACCTGGTAATGGTTTGAAAGTTATCTTACTGACAGAAAACAGAGGTATCTTTGATGGTTATAACGGACCCTAAAGCAATCTGGAACTATAAAAACTAATATACCCAAAACGCTCTTCAACCATGCTAAGGAAAAACTCTTTTTCAATAAGATCAGCATTAACATGGAATAAACTACCTGAATATGTTACTTCAACAATTTATGTTAAACAAACTGAAAAATGAACTAGACAACCACTGGAAAAACCAAGAACTTAATTTTTAAATTACAAAGCTGCAACCATATAATTGTCAAATTGTATATATATAATATGCATAACAATACTTTGTATGTATTTTTGTGAGTCTGGTATAGAGGGCTTTATTATAAGTCCTGAACAGGAAATAAACATATCTTATCTTATAATTCTTCATTTAAACATATTACTGGTAGTGTTCCACAAGGCTCTGTACTTGGACTGTTTTATTCTTCCTTTTTATTAATGATATAACTCATGAAATTAATACCAATATAGAACTCCAACTGCTGAGTTAAATGACGACCTTGAATCTATTAATAGTTGGGCTAAAAATTGGAAAATTGATTTTAATCCTAATAAAACATTTGCACTAATTGTAAGTAAGAAAAATAGTGTTCACCCTCCAGTAATATTTGATAATCAAGTAATTCATGAAAATTTCCATAAACATTTAGGTCTTATATTTAATTCAAAAAGCACATGGGGATCATATTAATGATATATACAATAAAGCATGTAAACGGATGAGTTTATTAGGTATATTGAAGCATAAATTGGATAGGAAAACTCTTGAAAAATTATACTACTCATTTGTTGGACCAATTTTGGAATATTCAGATTCCATTTGGGACAATTGCACTCTTGGTGAATCAAATTTATTAGAATCTGTACAGATTGATGCAATGAAAATTGCTACTGGTTGAAGAAGTGGTACTTCACATTATAAACTAATACCAAGAAACTGGCATGGAAAAGTTAGAATCTAGGCATCATAAGCATAAATTAATCTTAATGTGTAAATCGTTTAACCCCTGATTATTTGTTTAATATCATTGAACCATTCATTAATCATCTGGGAAATGTTCATTACTTGTATCACCAACGATTTTTCAATATCCCAAGGTGAAGAATATAATACAAGCTTTTTTCCCAGTACCATGATTGGGAGTATGGAATAATATTGATCCTAATTCGCTGATCAGGTCAGTTATATCATAAGTTCCTTCAAAGGGAATCTTTAAAATACTACAGCTAATCCTATTGCAGCAATGTCTGATACTTTCTGATGACCTTTATGAAACGTTACATATATAGCAGACCATCAAATCTTGGAACATTTCTTCTCGGCCAACCATCTCAAAACTTATTTTGGAACGTTTGCTCAACGTTATATTTAGTTGATAACACGACCATTAAATCACCATTTCGAAGATTATGTTGAACGTCAACTCTACATACACTGTTTATTCCCAGAGCTATGTAAATCGTCATCTAAAAGATATGTTGGAATGTTTGTTCGACATTGCAATAACTTTGTATTCCCAACCATTTAACTCTTCATCTCTAACAAAGGTAGGTTTGGAACGTTGGCTCGACGTTTTGGTCCAATTAAACTGTTAAGATAGAAACTCGAACATATTTTGACGTTGAATAGACATTGCTTAAGCTTATCCGAAGTATAGATCTCAGCTGGGAACGATCATGTTAAGTGTCACCTTAAAAAACGTCTCCTCTGAAAATAACTGTTAAATTTGCATCAACATTTCATCAAATAACGATTATATTAATAGTCACCTTCAAAATCATCTCTGATGAAAAAAAAACCTGTTGAATTGTTATCAACATTTCATTCAATAACGATTATATTAAGATTCACCTTCAAAAATATCTCCTCTGAAAATAACTGTAATTGAAGTATCATCAACATTTCATCAAACAACTATTATATTAAGGTGCGCCTTTAAAACATCTCTGATGGAAAAAACTGTTACATTTTCACCAACATTTCACTCATTAATCGTTCAGATGATGATTAAGACCTAAACACGCACACACAGGGATTTATGGTCGTTAGAGTAAACATCCTTCAAATGAAACAAATCAGTAGAATTTCACCAAAATCGCAAAAATCACGTAAGATATGACGTACAAGGATGTCACTTAGTACGAAACCTTCAAAAGACATCAAAAATATACTGTTGTATTTAGATAAATGTTTGGTAATGTGATAATAATCAGAATCTATACCCAACAAGGGGCTGATTCTCATCCCCCTCCCCCTCCCCTCTCCCCTTTTTGAATGAAATTACTCTTTGTTTAATATGCCCACAATGCTTGTGACACTTGGTTGTCCTATTTCCTATGGTTGAGCTTATTTCCTATGAATATTTCAAAGGTTCTACTCAGCAGTACGATAATTCACAAGTAGTTTCACTCCTAAAGGTGACCTATAGCGTTGATGTTAATTGGTCTCTTATTTGCATACATATATATGTCTCCTATATCAGCGTATAGGTGCACTGACATTTATTAATCAATGTATGTGTGTATAGAAGGTGCGCCGAAGACATTTGTTTACAAGTACATGGCATTGTCGCTATATAATCCTATCAAATTCAGTTGGCATTCATTTACAGGCTATGAATGCCATATGGACCGATTGTTTGGGTCATCATTATTATGACGTCATTATTGTTACGCTGGATACCACTGACCCTCACTGGGCGATGACTGTTCCATCCATTGAACAAGCATACACGTATGATACATAATAAATAAACAAGATTTATATAGCACCCGATATAATTTGTAAAATTACTCTTAAGCGCTTTACACCATATGGATTATAGTATTTATTATAATTAACATTAAGCAAGAAGATAATAATCTCAATGTGCATTAAGGGTGGTATGTACATGACATCTTAAGAGCCTATATTAAAGGTCTACATGAAGAGGTGAGTTTTTATGTCCTTCTTGAATTTGTCAGGGTATTTGACTTTTTAAAAGCAGATGGTAAGCTTTTCCACAACTGGAAGTGTCATTGTATATATATAGTATTTTCTATGAGATTAGCAGATTCCAAAATATGGTTACCATAAGCATTAAACTGCGTTCAGTTGGCATTCATAGGCAATATGAATTCTAACTGGGCAAAGTTTTAAATCCAACATGAAGTTTTATTAGAATAGTTTTCATAGTGCATGTGTGTGTGTGTTTAAAATCAAATTGAATACAATCCTCATCATTTGCTGAAATCAGAGATGTATATATATATTACATGTAATATATACGTCTCTGTTGAAATAAAGTGAACTGCTTTTTTCTACCAGACCATAATTATTATACTCGTTAAACATTATTGCTTAGCCAATTACCCCAAAAAAATATAAACGGTTTTGAGACCGCCCATTTTTATCAGACCGGAAATAACCAAATATTATCTCCCTTGGATATTTCCGGAATACAGATGAAAACAGAAAATCGCACCAAAAAACATGATTAAGAATGACAGCATCCATTTTCACACCTTTGATTTGTGTCATCTGGATTCTGTGCAGCCAAAGTTAAAAATGTCTGCTCACTCTGAATGACTTTGTTTTATCAATGACATAATTTCAGCAGGTAATCGATTTACCGGTCAAGATACTGCCGTAGACGGATGCTGAAGCAGTGAAGGTCCAGATACTGGCTCAATATTGATTGTCAAACGAGGTCGCAGGAGGAAAATATATTTCATTTGTCACATATGTACCCAATGACACTATCTAGATGATGTTGATTTTACGGTATATTCACTAATGCTGCGTGATGTAAATGATAATGTTTATTAAAACAGTGATGGTAACTGGTAAGCAGAAGACTGGTTTCTGCTGACATGATACACTGTCGGAATGGAAAGTGAATACTGTATCAGTCACACACGACGGCAAGCATGTAACCCATTAGACAAGATGGCGACCTTACAGTGACACGATGTTTGTCACCATAGCTGTGTGCTCATTCCTGCTGGGGGTGGGTCTCACCCTGCTGTCACTCTACCTGATCTATAAGAGCCAGCTGCGCTTGATGCCACAAGCAAACATTCCCCATGTTCCTCAGTTTGCTCCTTACAAATTACCAAAGGTACACAATATTTATTTTATTATAATACATTATATGCAGTAAAAAACAGGTACTTGCTCAAACTTCTGGGTTCAACATTGAACGTTGTTTTCCCAACCATTTAAATCAGCATCTCAAAGTTTATTTTGGAACTTTGGTTATGTATAAGCACAATATAGTCTGTTGAATGTGGGTATATGGGATATTCTAACTGACAGTGTAGAATTTGGGCCAGAATTGAGGTTTTGTCGAGGTTCTGACACCAAATGCTACACCTAAGTCTTCAATGGTAGACTATCCATGTCTTACTTGACTTGACTTTTTTTCTCCCACCTCTTAACCGAAATTTGGTCAAACAAGACATGTAGACAATGCAACATTGAATATTGCAAAATTTCTAGATAATGTATACTCATGATAAAACTCAGGCCATATTTGAAAAAAGTAGGGTAACCATATGCTCTAGGTATACCTCAAATTCAAAGGTTCATGCAAGACCTTCAGGTCAAGCTTCCGTACAATAATTCTTCTGCATCTAATTACGGTAGAAACTTTTAAAATGCATTGATCACTGGACAATATTATACAGTCTATGCAACATGTTGAGATATGACAAGTTGTTGCATTAAATGCTTGGTGCTGTCAAAGTATGATGACTAGATTAATAACATTAACTATATAGCTATTACATCGTACAGTCAGTGAGTTTTGGTATTTATAATATAAGAGATATAGTGTTTATATGTTAATGTATAAAGATATAGTATAAAAGATACAGTACATTTGTATTTATATGTTAATGTATAGAATTGAATTTATACGTTAATGTATAAAAGATAAAGTGTTTATATATGTTAATGTATAGAAGATATAGTATTTATATGTTAATATATAAAAGATATAGTATTTATATATGCAAATGTATCAAACATATGGTACTTATACATTAATTTATAAAGATATTGAAATTAATTGTTGTCAAAGGTGTTAATTGTTAATGACATGTTATTGTATAAAAGATGTGGTATTTATATGTTCATTATAAAGATATGGAAATTAATGGTTGTCAAAGGTAAAAAAATATATTCAATAACATGTTATTGTATAAAAGATGGGGTAATTACACAGTTAAACATTGATCTTACAGGAACTTTTGAAGTTGTTGAAGGACCCTGGTCAGCTTGGTAAAAAAGAAGATTGTATTTACCTGAACCTGCTTTTTCAGTTTTTGTTTAAAGAACTGAAAGACTCCAAACGAATCAGACAGTAAGTTCATATTATATATATAAATACAAATGTAATCTACATACAGCAAGCCAATCAGACGTTTCATTATACTTCTTTTAAGTATTGTTCTATGTAACATTTTTCATCTCAAGTTATTAGATTAAAATCAGATGATTGAGATATATATACAATCACGAAAATACAAGCCTACATCTGATTAGCGTAGAATGATACACTTTTTTTCTACAGTTTTTGTTTTGTTTTAATTAATTTAGACTAAGTCTTGGAGTTTTATGCTGTTACAACTTGTGTATTACGATTACCTGTTGGTACAAGTATGTACCTCAACTAGTAATTCAAAGCAGTAATATGTGTAGAGGATTATCCTAAGTGAAAAGTTCTAATACTTTGGACCATAGGGAAATGATAAACTTCAAGTAACAAGATTACTCTTTGTTAAATTAGATGGGCTGTAAGGAAGATGAATGTTGAGTTTGAGGAAATGATGCAGACAACTACTGGGAAGCTGATCGACCAGATATCAGTAAGTAACATCGAGGGATTTCATTATAGATCACAAAAACCCACTTCACGGGTGATGTAGCAATGTGATGTGTGTAAACTAGAAACCTCTTCTGTATCTAGAATAGAATGTCATTTTACACTAAATACATTTAGTTTTCAATTGCCAATGAATTAGGTAGTTCATTATACAGAGGCATGATTTGTTCTTCCCTGGAGAAATTTTATCCTATGTGTTAGATATTGTTGAAATTGACAGATGTGTAAATAGAAGGCGTAAGAAATGCTGATCGTACCATTATCATAATCAATGACATTAGATGTTATTCTGTGTATTTTCATATATATTGCACTGTGCACAACCTGTTAAGTTCATAAAACAGTTTGTTCAGATAAATTGTAAGATCCTTTAGAATTAAAGTAACCTGTTGAATCAAGTAATTTTACTATTTACTACTTACTTCAAAATCTGTTTGAGAGTCCTGGAGTCCAGGGTAGGGATACAAGTTGGTACTAGAAAAGACTTTATGATCAGAACACTCTGTACTGAACTTGTGTGACTACTCTATGTGTTTAAATCCTGCTGTCGTGTCCTCCGACAGGTAAGAGACTTCAGTATGGGGAGCTCCTTCCCCGTGCTTAAATCTGTCGCTGTACAGAAGGCTAAAATAGAACATGAAGATCATCTAGAGGTGAGTAAGATTATTCTGATATTTAAGATGTAAACAAATGATAATATAAACAAGGTCTTAGTGATCAATTTCAACTTTTTGGAGTCAATTATGGAAACAAATTTATATTTCCACAACTATCTTACTGCTTTTGTGTATAAGATTCAGAAAGTTGTGTTTTTCCAAACATGAAACTGGAAAATTACATTTTCTTTTCAAATTCTTGATGTATATTCACTAATCTGTTAATCTCAGAAGGTACATGTATGTGTGGAAATATGTCAGACTTAATGACCTGATATTTCTATCAAAGGAATTCTGTGACAAGGAAATATAGGGACAAACTACACATGTACAATTGTACTGTAAGGAAAACATTTGTTCACTTATAACCATAAGAAAAATGTTCCAATTTAATCTTTACATTGATGTCTTTATGCTACATGTTTGACTGAGTGATCTGTACCTGAAATATCTGTAAAAGTTTTAGTCAAACTCAGTTATATTTTTTCCCCAGGTGTTAGACCTGGCCATGGACATAGATTACAGTGGAGGGTTCCAGCTAGCTGTTGATATTGACCTTGTGTTTGGAAAGTGGGCATACTTGTGTGTGACCATTACCAGTCTAAGAGGCATGGGCAGGCTTCAACTATCACGCCAGCCCTACACTCACTGGTCCTTTTCATTTTATGAGGTAAACATTTTGTTCTATTTCATCCACGATCAGTTCCTGTAGACAAGTTTCAAACTACAGAAAATGTAAGCACTGAAGTGTTCTAAGAAAATCTGCTAAATAAGAAAGTTAACATTTCCTTTGTATAGTCCATAGTTAAACCAATGATTATCTTTATTAGTTCCCAGATGGTTCTACCAAAGGAGGGTGG